AAAGAAAAAATCTAAATGAGGTATCAGAATACCCTTTAATCCATCAAGTCTTTATATCTGCTAGTCCCTTATACAACCTATTTAAATTCTTCCACTATCCTTTCCTCAAGAATAGGATAGATTAGATCTTAGAAAGAAGGGCATCTTGGAATTTTCTTTTTTCACAAAAAAAAAAAAAAATACTAGTACTCATCAAGATAAGGGGGCTTTAGGAAAACAAAAACTCAAGCCAAAGTCCTCTAATTCATTTTTGTCATTGAAGACAATAACTCTAGCAAATTAGTTAGATCTAATATCATGCCCTCTAGGTATTTGTAGAGCCGGCATAGATAATAAGATTCCTAGCCAATCACTGAATTTATAGTTGCACCACCGACACAAAGGAGTAGATTTGTTTCCACTTGGACAGCAAAAGGTGGGTGGGGCTTTCCGCTTCCCTTTTTTTTTTTTTTTGTCTATTATAAGTAGGAGGTTTTGAATTTAAAATTTCACTTGACCTTTCCTTTACAATCCTTCTACAACCATGTAAGCATGACATGTTTTAAACTTATTAAAAGAAGCTGATAAGCTAATTATAGGTACTAGTATTCAGGGCACACATCAATATGTGTGCAATTAATAGAAAATTATTATTAAAATTTTCAGTAAATTTGTTGAAATTATTTTCAGAACAATTGGTTTTATATTTATGACAATAGATATTAGAAAATTCACCAAAATAAAGTGTACAAATAGATTGTTATTTAGTAGTAATCCATAACCGTAATTAGTAGTTGATTTTATTAGATAATTAGCAAGAATAGTTTAAAAAGAACATAAAGTGATAAAAATTTGTTTATACCAAATCTTCCTTCCCTTTTTATATATAGAATAGATTTTTAGATAGCTGGATGATTGACTCTTTCTGAAACTGGGAAAGCTCTTCAGTCGGCAAAAGTGGTATGGAAAGAATAGAAGAATGGATTGCGATATCCACAAGTATTAGGGAACTGAATGCAGGAAAGGAAGTCAGTTTCAATCTCTTTATACCATAATAAGATCAACAGTTGTACATTCAGAAGCGAAACTGGGAAGGCTTTTCGGTCGGCAATAGTGGTATGGAAAGGATAGAAGATTGGATTGCGATTTCCACAAGTATTAAGGAACTGATTGCCGGAAAGGAAGTCAGTTTCATTTTCTTTATACCATAATAAGATCAATAGTTCACATTCAGAAGCGAAACGGGTAGAAAAAAAGAAGGAAAGCAATAGATCAAGAATAGAATAAAGATCTTTTTTAATATGTTGTTTTTTGATGTAAGTTTGAGTGTTTGAAACCAAAACATTTTACTTATACTCTCTTTCTCTCTCTCTCGAACCAACTAGTCCATCCCTCCACGCTCCCCTCCTCCTAAAAAGAACAAAGATAACAACACTCTTATTTCTTAATTTGTTTCGAAAGTGGAAGTAGAATTAAAAAAAAAAGAAAAAGAAAAAAGCAGTATCTTTTGGGGGTAGTTAATGTCCAAGAGAAGGTTGGATTGAGTGGTAAGATGAGAGAGAAAGTAAGTAGGAGATCTTAGGTTCAAACCCTCCCACTTGGAAAAAAAAAAAGGTCTTATACCTACAGGTTGGACTAATAACTTTTAAGCTTAAACCAATAACTTTCACCAATAATTTTCAAGCAAAATCAATAACTTTTGAGTGGAAATCATGGGTTCAAAATACTTAATTTAATTTATATGCCGACGTAGGATTTCATATTCATCTCCCCTTATGGATGTAGGATCTCATATTCATCTCCCCTTGTTGCCTTTGAGTTTTAGACTGTACACACCTAATTGTGCAGGCTTCTAGAAATGTTGGCTCACCCACCCATAGACCACATGAGATATATCTCGAACCGAAAATTGACCCGATGTAGGGGTTCCTTCTCAAGCTAAAACCTAATTGTATAGAATTCTAGAAATGCCTTGTAATGGCTCAAGCAAAAAGAGACCACGCGAGATATGTCTCGAACCGAAAATTGATCCAATGTAGGGGTTTCTTCTCAACCGAAAACACTAGCCCAATAACTTTTGAGCAGAAATTATGAGTTGAAATCATTTAGTAACCTCATGGACTGAAACTCATAAATCATTCATTTTTCTTCCCTTCCACCTATATGGAATCTCACAGTAGGAATTTCTTCTTTTCCTGTAAACCTACGAAACATGCAGAAAAGAGACTACGAACACAAGAAGCTTTGTTAAGCAAGAGCTCGTGGCTATAGCTTGCCTCCCCAGTTTAACACGACTGAATACGAAAGCTTGGTCAGAGACAGTCAAAACCGGTCTATAAACTTTCACCACTATCTGACTTTCTTGATCCAATGAGCTTTTTGACATCACTTGAAATTCTGCCAATTTATGTTCTCTTACGTATGTTAATAGCAGGCCAATACAGAGAAAGGAAGAATTTATTGCTTCAAGGGAATTTTTTTGGTCTCCTTTACCAAATGTATAAAAGTTAGATATGGCAGGAACGGTTTCAAATCATTCATTGCGAAGAATTAAGTCCCAAAGCCTTTTATTTCTAACTATGTCATTTCTTTTTCAAATTACTATGGCACTCTTATAAGTACTTCAATTTTTTTTAAAATTACTATGGCACAAATTTGAATTTTAGTTACATATTCGTTTACATATTCTATGCCTAATCAAACCAAAACATTCACTATTAAATGAGAATATATGAGAGGCAATTTTTTTTTTATTATTTATCTGCTGTAGACGAGGAACAGAACCCTCCTTGTAGAAGAGAAGACAATTCCTTCATCAATCTTCCTGATGAAGTGTTAAGAGTTCTTCCTATCCTCCTTATAGAAGAGAAGACAATTCCTTCGTCAATCTTCTTGATGATGTGTTAGAATTCTTCCTGCTGCTAAATTCTGACAGTTGGGGTAAGAGGAAAAAAATAAAAATAAAAATAAAAAAGGTAAGTAACTTTGTCTATAGTCAACTCCGAAATTGTATTATCATATTTTTGTTTTGGTAACATTGATGTTTTATTGAGAAACAATAAAATTTGCACTAGCAGGATAGCTGAACAATTACAGCACAAAAACACAAAACTAAAGAACAATAAAACCAACAATCAATGAGCAAGGAAAATTTCTGGTTAAAACGCCATTCCAAACTGAAATCCCAGTTCTCTTGGAATCTAGTGACATTCCTCTACTCTGGAAACTATTTCAAATTCATTCATCGTCAAGAATTGAATCTCGAAGCCTTTCATTTCTTTTAAAATGAAAAGATTATGATCTATTGCACACTAACTACGTCATTATTGAAGTATGCATACAGTTTCTTTTTAATCATTAGAAAGTTGATATTCAAGAACTCATTTTTTATTTTACCAAAATACAATATTAATCATGTTTAATGTACTATATATCATAGATGTCGTTGTACTTAAGATACATAAATTCTTCATCTTCTAGATTTCAACTGCACGAAACAAACTTTTTAACTCCCATGGCATGAGACGGATCACTAATCTTTCTTTCTGAGGTAAAATTTCTTTTTCTCTGTCTGTATCTTTTGTTCATCAATATAAGCTAATTATTAGAGTAAGGAAAGATAAAGCCAACAAACTAGAGGGAAAGGTAAAGCCAACAACTTTGAAAAGCATACACCAACTACATGTCGGTTGGTAGGGGGCAACCCTTTAAGAGGCATTACCAAGAAATTAGCCTCGTCCGGATTCTGGTTTTCCAAAAAAAAACATTTTACGTTTTTCGTAAACATATTTTTCAATTACCTTTTTACCTTATATATATCAAATTACCATAATATATTTTTTTACAAAAACTCCTAAAAATAGTAATCCAAGTAAGACCAATCTGTTGAAGCTAGCTTAAAGTGGGATTGTGGGCTGGCATGGCTGCACTTGGAGCCACACCATGCGATGTACTACCTTGATTTGCTGAAAGAAATCCATTTTTGTCTAAACTGATTCATAAACAATTCAAATAAACAGCCGGATTGAGCTAATCGATTTCTTTCAATAGATTTGGACCGTTAATTGTATGACACGATTGCACTTGCAACTGCAGACAATTCAAGTCCACCGTCCCAATGAAGTTGAAGTGTGGTGGATACTCAAACAAGAATTAATACTTTTTTGTTTTTTCGACATCTATTTAATATTTAATCTTAGAAAAAAGAAAAGGGAAAAAAGAAAAAAGAAAAACCTAAAACCTCTAATGCCAACCTTGATAACAAAAGCAAATGCATACCAACATTCAATTGCTAATTATCTAACGCTGACACTGTCAATTTATGGCTTCAAAAGATTTAGCTTGTAGTGTACTTGTAACAAAGAGCAGCTCAAAAGAATTTTTTTTCCCTCTTTTGCGGTGTTCTATTTGTATGAGTTCATTAGCGGATGGCCAACTTGTGTGCTGCAGTTGCAATATAAGACAAGAGTTAATTAAAGGGTAAATTACTTATTACTCCCTGTGATTTTATAGAATGTTAGATGACCCTTTTAAAATTTTAAAATAACCACATAACCCTCCTATCATTTTATGTAAAGCAAAAAATGGAAGGAATGCACAATTAGTTACAGTATTTATATCAAATGCGCTTTAAAAGGGTGTGTGATAAAATATTGATATTCATGTAATCTACTTATGATTTGTATAAATATCCACTTTATCCCTTGTAACTATTGCACTTATCCATATAATCTCTCTTGACTTTTATACAAGATGATTAATCCGTCAATTAATTTAGCATTTAAGTAAGCACACTAGTAGTATTCCAACTAACAATGTTACCTAGCTAATAGTAAGGGCACTATTAGTACAGTCTGCAAGTGTTATTAATTTATTGTTTAGCTTTTTGTATCCATACCTTATTGTATCACATCAACCGATTAATATACTTGTGGAAAAAAGAATGTTTCTTCTACACACCTTAAAATTGGAAAATATGACCAAAATCTTATCACAATATATAGGATAACAAATCATGTAGGTTTCCATCATTCTCCTATCAACAGCTAGTTACAATTAAATCCCTCCATCCCTTCTTCATTTGCCACATATAGTGGAGAAAGAGAAAACAAAGAGAACATGGACAAACATGACGCAGCATCAAAACTTCTTCACGGTCAAGCACAGATATGGAAACAAATGTTCGCCTTTGTAGACTCCATGGCTTTAAAATGTGCTGTGGAGCTCCAAATAGCTGACATTATACACTCCCATGGCCGCCCCTTATCCCTCTCCGAAATCTCCTCCAATATCACCAACTCTTCGTCCCCAAGTTTTCCATATCTGGCACGCATCATGAGGTTGTTAGTCCGCAACAATATCTTCGAATCCATAGAAGATGTTCAACAGGAAAATGGTGGAGACACTCCCTCCACCACCCTCTACGGCCTAACCACCGCCTCCCGGTGGCTACTAAATAACAATGACCAGTTGAGCATGACTCCCTTTATCTTAATGGAGAACCATCCATGGCTTTTAAGTCCATGGCATCAGTTGAGTACTTGTGTAAGAGAGGGCGGCATTGCATTCCAAAAAGCTCATGGAAAAGAGATATGGGATATGGCATCACAAAACCCTGAGTTCAACAAGATTTTTAATGATGGGATGGAATGTACTGGGAAGATTACAATGCAAGCAATTCTTTCAGTGTTTAAAGGTACTTATTGGGATGGTGTGGAATCACTTGTGGATGTTGGGGGTGGGACTGGTGCAACCATGGCTGAGATTGTCAAGGTTTATCCACATATCAAAGGAATCAACTTTGATTTGCCGCATGTTATCGCTACAGCACCTAAGTATGATGGAGTTTCTCATGTTGGTGGTGACATGTTTGATGCCATCCCCAGTGCTCAAGCAGTCTTCATGAAGGTATTAGAATTTGCTAAATTTACTGCCAAATCTTCTTGTTTTCTCGTTTCTGACTTGAATGTCTTTCTTCCTTTATGGTGATAGCATGAAGCATAGAACTTCAAAGTTTGAAACAAAGTTCTTCGATTTGAGCCTAGTTCAGCCATTCCGTAGATGTGCGGTTGGATTGAGACAATAGAAAAGTTTAATTTGATTATTTCTTAACACATCCTTTTTTCAACTAGATTTTTATATCTCGCATGCATCAATACAAAATCATCATAGTAAATAATACAAGTCAGATAATATTCAATCAAAATGCAATGTGTTTATCTTCCCACAAGATTGCAGAAAAAAAGAATAAAAATTCAATTTTAAGTATGAGCTCAACTATCACTTCTCCTTTAACTCCCACAAATTACTTCTATTTTTGCATGTGAAGGGCCTAGTTAAATTACGACATTGTAGTTTAGAATGTAAAATATCTCTTGTTTGCTAACCTTGATGGTCATATTTGCATAATGTAGAGAACTTGATTTGGACTTGGTAGAGTTACCATTTTCCTTTTGAAAAAGAATTGGTGGAAATAGCCTAGACTAATCAAGGGCACTAGAAGTTCTTTGCTTTGTGTTCTTGAGGGTACAAAAAAGTTATCATTTTTTTTTCTTTTGGCAAGGGCACGTGAATGTAGTCACTGGTGGAACCAGAAGTTGAGATTTAAGGGCAGAGTGGCCAAAACTAGTAAAGATGAGGAATACTTTTACATTTTTTGTAAAAAGTTTTGGAGGACAAAGTCTAATTTTTTCCAAGGATATATGTAAATACATTTAATATTTGAAGGGGAAATATAAGAATATCTAAATTCTCAGGGGGAAGGGGCCAAAGTCTCATTCCTACAAGGACTGACTAGGCAAGTAATGCTAGCCTGGAGGTATTTCCCAGATTGAATTTTGAAGGAGGGATATAAAGCACATAGTGGCGAAAACCAAACAACTAATGTTACAGAAAGTCCTACTTTATCTCTTAATGATAATAAGAGTTCACATTTTAAATGATTAAAGTTAATGAATTTTGAAGGAGGGATGTGAAGCACGTGGTGGAGAAAACCAACCAACTAATGTTACATAATATCCTATTTTATCTCTTAATGATAATAAGAGTTCAAATTTTAAATGATTAAAGTTAATATAATCGAAAAGTCTAAAACACTTATTTCACTATTCAATGATTAATTTAAATTTAAATTACAAGTATGATACCAAAAAAAAAAAGGGAAGAACGTTTGACTATTATATTGGTACTAGTGGAGGTGGGTGTAAAATAAATTCAAATCTTATCCAAACGTCCTATCCATCATCCAAAAATCTTCCAAGATAAGATATGCTCTTGTGGTTTTCCTGTATACGAGAAGGCACATAATAGAATGGACCTATGGATGCACCATCTTACAGTTTGTGAGTCCTGTGTGAACTGCAAATGTGAGCGGCACATTTTTGGGAAGATGTTCTAACGCGTAGACTTAGTCCACATTAGAATTTCCATGCATAGCCAAAGAGGTTTTTTCTTGTGAATTAAATAGTGAAATTTTCATTGTCATGAAGGATCAAATTCTCGAGATTCCGTTTAATAATTTCAAGTGGTAGCATGTATTTTTTAAAAAATTTTATTTGACCAGATTCTGCCATTAGATTTAATGTCAGATTCTTGGGATAAAATTCACCGATATTACCTTATTATACACCAAAATTTGTCATACCAACAGGTAAAGTTACATATGTGATGTATCCAGAGATTGAAAATTCTATGGTCCTTCTAGGAACCATTTCCTCAATGTATATCTCTCAATGATGATATTAGTTTATATTTTGAATCTTTGAAATTATTATTATCCAAGAGTCCAAAATACTTATTTCACAACCCAACGATGAATTGATTTTGAAGGTATAATACCCAAAAGTAACTATTGTATATTCCCAAAAAATTCAGGGAAAAAAAATTGGTATGCTTTTATACATTTGTCAAAATTTTGATATATGAATTTGGAGAGAGAGAAATGGTCATGTGTAACTTGCTAGAAAGTAGAGAAAATGGAAATAGACAGTCTAATGCATGACATAAATATATAAGGTACTTATTGTGCCTTATTGAAGACAATTTACTTTGATAATTGGTTGTATTCAAATCTAAGTTATCGTTTAATGTGTATTTGGAGCTAATTTACCAGTTGGTTTATTGCAAATCGTTCCAGATTGATGGATTAACTGTTGAATTGTCTGGTTCATCCGAGTTATAAAATATAGTACCGGTTTGAGAGTCTAATCTGACCAAAAAGCAAACCACTCGATGATTTAACCCGTTTGACCATCTAGTCTGGTATGGGTTTTAAAACCTTGCTCTCTGCTTTCGTGCATATTGGGTGCTTTAGCAACTAAGCAATTGTTGAAGTTGTTCACGGTGGTGATTCCACCATTGTCAAAAAGATTGAGAACTCGAGAAAGTTTTGACATTGTGGAAGGAGTCTAGGGTATACATTTCAATATACAGAATTGTTATATTAGTATCTGTATTGCATTTGTGGTATATGCATTATAGTTATAGTGTCTAAATCACACTACTGATAGTGTCTATATTTTCTCCAGCAATTGGAATTGCCAATTGCTAATTGTGAGTATTTTCTTTCTACCCTCAGACAACCATGATTTGTTCTGCCTCTTGTCAATTTAAGATTTTAACTAATTCAATGTGTAATTTCTCTTTTGCGCCATTTTCTTCATCAATGCAGTGGATAATGCATGATTGGTGTGATGAAGATTGTGTGAAAATATTGAAAAACTGTCGAAGAGCAATACCAGAAAAAACAGGAAAGGTCTTCATTGTTGAAGTGGTTTTAAAGCCTGACGGTGATGGGTTATTTGACAGCATTGGGATGATACTTGACTTGCTAATGATTGCTCACAGCTCCGGTGGTAAGGAGAGGACTGAACCTGAATGGAAAAAACTTTTAGATAAAGGAGGCTTCCCACGTTACAAGATTACTGAAATTCCAGCTTGCTTTTCCATCATAGAGGCCTATCCAGAATGATATTATAACTATCAGAGTTGCACATTGGATCTCTTATCATTTATGTAAAGTACAGTCTTAGTAGCTTCCAGAGGGAATGTGCAAGATATTTCATGAAATTTGGCTGCCAAATTGTAATAATCTATCTTGATTTAGTCTTTTACTTCAATCTTGACATGTCTTCCTTTTTACCTGTTGTTGTAATACTGTCCCGTTTAAAGGTCGTCATGAGTAGTCATTCATTTTCATATTGTATAATTTTAGAAAAGTTGTATATCGTGCCATAGTAATGTTGAAGGAAATTAAACCAAACTATTTTAATATTTAGTTTCCTAATTCTTTTTGGTGTCTTGTGTGTTTAGTTTCCATATCAATTTAGCAAATCTCAAATTAGTTTTCAAATAAGTTTCGGTTTATAATTGTATTTATTTTAGAAAGTTTTGTCAATCTATAAATACGAACAACTTAACAGGTTATTACTTGAAAAGTCGAGTTGAATTTTGGAGAGTTGAGTTGAGTTTTGAAAACTAGATTTGAAAGAAAGTCTCATAGTTGAGGTTTATGAATTGTCATGAGCGAAAGGCTACGACTTAATATTGTTATTGTTAAATTTTGGGTTAATAAATTATTTTGTATTTATTTATGTGTTTATTCTCCTTCTCTTCCCACATATTTTTTATATGTGCTAAAATTGCTCCATCTATGCATGTAATTTTTCTTGCTAATAAGTGATATTAGAGCCCTAGTTTCAAAATTTTGATTCTTGGGTGTCTATAGTGCCCGGAGAGTTTATAGAGTTTATACAAAGTTTTTGGTAGAAAAACTTGTGCCATAGAAGAGTACAGAATTTGTGGTAGAGTACCCATATATTGAAATTTTGGACCACAAGCGTTGGTCTTAGAATACTCCTTCATTGATTGGAATTAGGGAAAAACCCTAATTGGATAGGGGTCTAAAAAGAGGGATTTTGTCATGATTGTTGATGTCGTGCAGTAATCAGAAAAAAAAAATCCTGCCAAATTGTCGGTTGTCATAGTGAATTTTGATCAAACCTGAAACTAGGGAGGCCAAGAAATTCAAGCAGGGAAGACAAAAATATTTGTCAAGATACGTAAATTATTTTGGTTTGCCATGGAGAGAGAATTTCTCAATGGTGAAAAATTAAAAGTTTTACGCACACTTAGTGGTGATAAAGAAAGATCTGAATGGTCAAAAATAATGCACAAATATCTTAAAAAGTGTGGTTTAGGTGAATTTCTTGAGATCAATTTAAATAATGGTCAATCAAAAGAAATTAAAAGAAGGAAGGCCAGATTATTTTTCAAAATGCTGCGAAAATCAATGGTTGAAGAGTATTATAAAAGGCTTATCATCTCTTTTCAATCGCCTTAGTGATTTTGGTAAGATCTCTTTTATATTTTAATGATAGAATTTCCATATGAATCTAATTATAAGTCAAAAATTAGTTTGGAGTGGGAAGTTAATTTGGAAGAGAATGTGATTGTTGATAATAAATAAACTTTTAAAATTTTTTATATGGTTGAAAATTATGATTTGTATACTTTGTTTGGGGTGATTGAAGAAAAAGAATTTTTTGATGAATCAAAGAAAGAAGAAATTGCAAAAATTGTGGGTGCACATGTAGTTGAAAAATTTACAGCTCAAAAAGAAATCTCACATGTGGTTTTAGAAAGAAAGTAAAATCATTGATGAAATTAAAGATGTACCTAAAGATCATGGCGATATAGAAAAACTTGATTTTGTGGGAGTTGATGAATTATTTAAAGGAGAAAAATCTAATAGTTGAATTTGTTGAGAATAATTGTGGAGTGGACGATTTAGTTGAAAATTGTGATATTGCTAAGGTTAATACAGTTGTCAATGTGAATCAATTAACACAAAAACATGGTGATGTTAAAAATCTTGATGGTGGAAATTATGGTTTTCTGGTTTTGGGAGATTTTATTAGTGACATAGATGAATTAAATTATGGAGTATCTAATAAAAAATGGGTGGATATAGTTGAATTTTTTGACAAGGCTGATCAAGCAAAGAAATTGTTCGAGAAGTACAAATTTCGTTCATTGTCACGTGTAAAGATGAAATTAATAACCGACAATAAGATGAAGTTGCATGTCAGCTATATCGCAATAGAGATTTGCATAGAAATTGTTACCCGAGATGGAATTGGACCTGCTTCAATATCAAGAGTTTGGTTTAAGGGTGGCGTCAATGGAGCAAATTAAACCAAACTATTTTAGTATTTAGTTTCATAATTTTTTTTGGTGTCTTGCTTGTTTAGTTTCCATATCAATTTAGGAAATCTCAAATCAATTTTCAAGTAAGTTTCAGTTTATAATTGTATTTATTTAGAAAGTTTTGCTAGTCTATAAATACTACTAGTCTAGTACGTTATTACTTGAAGAATAACGTACTAGACTGGTAGTACGTTATTAGTCTTGAAAAATAGATTTGAGAAAAAGTCTCATAGTTAAGAATTATGAATTGTCGTGAGCGAAAGTTACGACTTAATATTATTATTATTGTTAAATTTTGGGTTAATAAATTATTCAGTATTTATTTGTGCGTTTATTTTCTTTCTCTTCCTACATATTTTTTATATGTGCTAAAATTACTTCTACCGTGAGCGTAATTTTTCGTGCTAACAAATCTGAAATGGGTAAGTGGTTTCCAAGCAGCAGATCTACGCAAGCTACGCAATGGGCTCAAATTAGTAGCCCTCCGAAACAGCAGAAGAACCAGCATGGCCCAAATTGAAGCAATGGCAGAACGCCCGTTCCACTTATTCAGAGCGACGATACAAAATGATAGGAAACCATCATTAATTCTTGTATTAATCTTCAGGAAAGATTGCGAGAAATATTTGTAGGATTTCCAGGAATGCTAAAATTATAGAATCGCATAAAAAGTGGCAGGATTGCTTCATTTGCATGATCTTTAATTCAGTCATAAAGAAACAGCGTATAACAGATCATAATTATTATCGAGCTGCTCATTATCTCCAGCCCAAAAGGTTTAAAAGTTTCTCATATTCACCGACTTTATCTACTTGCACCATTTGTGGCCGAGCAGAGTAATTAGGAAATCATTATTGAGAATTCAGATTATCAGAATTTATCTACTTGCACCATTTGAGCCATTTTCTTCATCAATGCAGTGGATAATGCATGATTGGGGTGATGAAGATTGTGTGAAAATACTGAAAAACTGTCGAAGAGCAATACCAGAAAAAGCGGGCAAGTCTTCATTATTGATGTGGTCTTAAAGCCTGATGGTGATGGGTTATTTGACAGCACTGGGACGATATTTGATTATTTGATTTGCTAATGATTGCTCACTGCTCTGGTGGTAAGGAGAGGACTGAACCTGAGTGGAAATAACTATTAGATAGAGGAGGCGTCCAACGTTGTATTATGACTGAAATCCCTGCTTGCTTTTCCATCATAGAGGCCTATCCAGAATGATATTATAGCTGAGAGTTGCACTTTGGATCTCTTATCATTTATTAAAGTACAGTATTAGTATCTTCCGAAGGCCAAGTCCAAAATGTCTCCGTTTTGTGTACTAAGTTTCATGCAATTTGGTTGATAAATTGTATAATCTATCTTGCTTTAGTCTTTTACTTCAATCTTGACATGTCTTTTTTTCTTCTTCTTGTAATGTTGTCCGGTTCAAAGGTCGTCATGAGTTGTCAATCAATTTCGTATTGTATAATTTAGAAAAGTTGTAATTCGTGCCGCAGTAATCTGAAAATGGATAAGTGGTTTCCAGGCAGCAGTTCTACGCAAACTACGCAATGGGCACCAAATTAGTAGCCCTCAAAAACAGCAGAAACCCAAATTCAAGCTATGGCAGCACGCCAGTTCTACTTATTTAGGGAGACGATACAAAATGATAGGAAATCATCATTAATTCCTGTATTGTTCTTCAGGAAAGATAGCTAGAAATATCTGTAGGATTTCCAAGACTACTAACATTACAAAAGTCAAATAGAAAGTGGCAGGATTGCTACGTGCACATGATCCTTAATTCAGTCATATAGACACAGCACATACTGGATCGTAATTATTTATCCAGCTGCTCATTATTTCCAGCTAAAAGGTTTAAAAGTTTCTCATATTCACTGAATTTATTGACATGTACCATTGGTGTCCAAGCAGAATAATTTAGAAAATATTATTCAGGAATAAGATGATCAGATCTGAAAGGATCTTGGCTTCAAGACAATGGTAGAATGGTTCAAAAGATGTGAACTGAATTGTCCACTTTTTTCTGTGGTATCAATCTTGGATTGCCCCGGAGGAGGCAACAGCTCGAAATTCTGCACCAGGCGTCCCAAAGTGAGGCTAAGAATTGGCATAGCAAGAACAATCCCAGGGTAGCTTCTCCTACCAACACCAAACGGAAGATATCTGAAGTCATTGCCATTGGCCTCAACCTTAGACAAGAACCTCTCTGGTCTAAATTCCTCTGGCCTCTTCCAGTTTTCTGGGTTGTTTGCGAGCCACCAAGTGTTGACCAAAATCTTGCTCTCAGCAGGGACATCATAGCCACCGAGTTTGGCGTCGTTAAGGTTCATGTGAGGCACCAAAAAAGGAACTGGCACTCGAAACCGGAGGGTCTCCTTGATCACTGCCTGAAGGTATGGTAGTCTGTCAATGTCAGGTTTAGTGACTTGCACACCAGGTCCAAGCACAGCGTCAATCTCATCACGCATCTTGCTCTGGATTTGTGGGTGGTTAACCAATTCTGCAATGCCCCATTCAAGTGTCCATAAAGGTGTCTCCATACCTGGTCATGACAAACTAATTAGTTACATCAGGAAGTTATATTTGCTTCACTAGTTTCACTGATTTCAGGGAAATGTAATTAGTTTGGGCGTAAACATGATTAATTAGTTGTTTAAAGAGCTAAGAAACGTACCCGCAACATTCATGCTTTCCACAATAAAGGAAATGATCCTCGTTAATCTCTCCATTCTGCTGTGCTTCAAGAAGATGATCTATGGCACATTTCAGACTGTTGTTATCCATGTTTTTTGCGCTTAAGAGCTTCCTGGAATCCCAAAAATTAGAATTAAGACACCATAGCTATTAAGAATATGCTGAATCATTTACCACGCTTGGATGCAAGGCCAGAGTGGCTGTAACAATTTTCTAGCAATCTGACAAG